ACTCTTCATTTAGAGAGAGAGAGAGAGAGAGAGTGAGGAGAGAGAGTGAGGAGAGAGAGAGAGAGCGAGAGAGGTTAAACTTTATAAAAGTATTATAATTGAATTGTAACATACTTTACAAGGCATGGATTTGTTGGCAATGGCTGGCCATGTTCCGGGCCAGAAGGGTTTGGAACACATGACACCAAAATCACTGTCTTTACAAACACTTTGTCTGTCAACAGTCAACTCTCCCTTTTGTAAAAAGTTGGGTTTAGTTCCCCTCTCGTCAGTCCATCCAAACCCAAAAAGTGTCGCATTTTCATCTTTTTGGTTGATTTGTCCGCTTTCTGGCAGACATATTGTGTTTATGAGATAATGTGGATATTTTTCATCACGTTTAAATGCGCTATCGAGTCTAACCAAGGCTAAATCATAAATGTCTATATATTGGCTATAGTTATGGTGAATAACAATAAGCTCCTTATCTCTAATATCAACATGTGCCCTCCAATTCATACCACCCGTTATAATCCATTTGCTATTCATTTTGCTGTTAATTAAATAATTTTAATTAAATTACAATTATCTCTATGTATAAATTGTTGACCAATTACCCCGTAAAACAATGGGCAGCCGTTAAGACCCATAATCTGGTGACCAATACTCCACTACAAAATCCAAAGTCATATTCTTCTGATGCGGTCAATGGTGTTAGGCGTACAGCCCAGGGAGCCTCGGCATACGTGGCCTCAACTCCATATTGTATGCGACTGTCCGGTAGTTTGGGATCAGGTCTCTTCATTTGGCCGTAAATATCCATCATTTTATTCGCAGTATAGTTATTGCGAAAACATTTTGTATCATATTTTATGTCTAATATTGTGGGAATAAATCTGAGCCCACAGTCCCTCTCATTCACTCCATAACCTTTATATGCCTTATAATCGCCTATTTCTACGAACGCACCATAAGTTTGCACTAATACTGCTGTAATTTTTTAGTGAAATTTGTGATAATTATATAAAAATCAAAATACTATTTATACTTACAAAATATTAACATTAAAATCATTATTTTTCAATTTTAGATTTCGTAATATCTGTTATTGTATTTATAAAACTATAGCTAGTTTTAGTTATATTTTAAAACTCAGATTTAAATGACTTTTACTTTGAAAATCTAATGAATTTATTTTATAGATATTATAAATCAAACGGTTTTTAAATAAAAAAAATTATTTTACATAATTTGTATGCATTGTTGAGCAGTGTTTTAATAGTTAGGATTGAAATCAAATAAATTTAGGTTTTTATTAAATTTAATATTTCAATATTAATTTTGCAAAACCATTAAAGATGGTAGAATGTCATTATAAAATGTGTTTATTTGTAATTTATTTATTCAATTAGTTTTAATTGTCTCTAAAATCCAATTGATATGATATGAAGTGGAAATAAATTTAGTGATATTATATTGCGCTTCTGATGCCGTCCCCATATGTATGGCCCGCACCCGATGTTTGTCCGTATATTGAACCAAACCTCCACCCGAATCACCCTTTGGAGAGAGAGAGAGAGAGAGAGAGAGAGAGAGAGAGAGAAATTTTATTAATATAAAAGACAACTAAATAATCAATACATTACAAGCCAATGGGTCTGCGCTAATGTCCCGTCTGGAGCACAGGTATCCATTCGGTACGGTTTGTCCAAAACAGGAATTCATTGCTTGAACTTTAAATTCGGCCTTTTTTAGCTGATCTGGGTACCCGTACTTTGAATTAACCTTAGGATCAGTACAGCCCCACCCGAACAAATTGGCCGTCTCTTCATCGCCATTATATTCATTGACATTTGGCAGACATATGGTGTTAACGATGAACTTGTTTTTCTCAGGCGTAATATTATACGGTTTGTCCAGTCGTATGAGTGCCAGGTCTTCGGTTTGATGGCGAATCACATGACCGCCGTATTGCCTATATTTACCATCTTTGTAATTTGGACCGCCGGTCACTATCACTCCTCTATAACCACTGTACACACCATTTATATATTAATTATTGATGTATGTAAATTTACAAAAAATATATATACCCAATAGGGTGACAATGGGCAGCCGTTAGTATCCAGCGGTCAGTGACCAGAGATCCGCCGCATTGGGTCGCTTCGATCACATACAGAGCCCAGGGAGCCTCTGCCGGGTCGGCAAATACACTGCTTATTATACGACTGGCCAACGGATGACTCTGGAGGTGATAGTATATGTCGTATATCTCACTAAAAGGTTGCATTTGATATGTATTGCGAAAACACGACGTTTTGTACGTAATATTAATGACTTCGGGCACAGATCTGAGTCCACACGTCTCCGAATTAATGCCATACAATTTATAATCAGTAAAATTTGCATATTTTCCTACACTTACAACCGCAACAGTCGTTTGATCTGAAATTAATTTTTCTTTATTTGATTATATTATTGGTCTAAATAATTATATTTAAAATAAAATACTAACAAAAATACATATACAGTATAAATCGGGCCATAAATATAATCATATTTTTTGTTATAATATTAAGTCTAATAGGGTTTTGAATAACCGTTTGTTTTAAATATGAATTAAATGAATTTAATTGAAATTTAAAAAATTAATGAAACGTTAAATTAAAATTATAATTGTTATAAATTTAATGCATAAATATAGTGTTGAAAATTGTAAATATCTTAAAAATAGAAACACTTGAATGAAAAACATTTTTATGTAATGATAGTATTGTTTGCTATGGTATCCAAAATCCATTGAACATTGAGTGAAGTCGGTGTAAAGTAAGACAGTTGTGAATCGCAATTTTGAGAAGTATTTCGATACGACTCACCACCCCTCAGATTACCAATATTGATTGCACGGCGCCGTTGCTTATCCGTGTATTGGACTAAACCTCCACCGGAATCGTACTGACGAGAGAGAGAGAGAGAGAGAGAGAGAGAGAGAGAGAGATTAATTGATAAATGTCATTTAATTTTTCCTATAACCCAAACTTACGCTACAAGTCATGGATCCATTGAGATTGTGGGGATTTACATTAGGATCAAACCTCCTTTGTGTACATAACAACCCTGTATACGGGCATTGATTGCTGGGCGGGGCTACAAACTCTCCCCGATGTAAATAGTCAGGCAGTGTCCTAATGGTGTCGGTCCACCCGAACCCGAAAAATGTGACCATTTCTCTCCCGGTATTGATTTGTCCGGGATTTGGTAGACATATAGTGTTTAGGAAATAATATTGGCTATCGTTGTAAAGGGGAAACTCGTCGTCGAGTTTAACCAAAATCATGTCATATATTAAGGCATTGTTTGTATAATTTGGGTGAAAAAATACTTCCTCTTTATATCTTCTGTCGATATAATATTTCCAATTCAAGCCACCGATTATAACCCAAGTGTTGTTCTCATAACTTTTTGAAAACCCCTTAAAACAATGGGCAGCCGTTAAGACCCATAATTTGGTGACCAATACTCCACTACAAGAGTCATTCGCATAATATGTGGTCGAATCGTTCACCATCTGGACCTTCACAGCCCAGGGGGCCTCTCCTACCTTAGCCTTTACACCAAGAGCTATACGACTACTTGATATGTCCGTACGGTAGCGGTTTGGGGGCACCGGTATATCCGTATGTGGTTTAGTATTATAGTTATTGGGAAAACATTTCTTATCATATGTTATGTCCATAAATGTTGGCACAAATCCGAGTCCACACGTGTCTGTATTGATGCCGTACTTTTGATAATCTTTATAATCGCCCACTTCTACAAACTTACCACTCGTTTGCACTGAGAATATAGTTTTGCACATCATTTACACATCAATTCATATAATCATTTCAATACAAATACTCACAAAAACTAGTCCATAAACATATCATTAGTAAATAATAGGCAAACATTTAATAATTCAATAAAAATAGTTTTAATAATAAATAATTTAACGGTTTTTGTTTAAAACTTAAATCATTATTAATGATTCATTATATAATTTGGAGATTTTTGTTAAATAGTGAAAAAACATTTAATTGTTAATATTTTTAGTAATGTTAGTATTGTTTTCAATGGTATCCAAAATCCATTGAACATTCAATGAAGTGGAGATAAAATAGCTCTCATCCGGTCCACACCTTGAAGTGTTATCTTTATAATCTCGGCCCAAACTTAATGTACCGATATGTATGGCACGAGTCCTGTGTTTATCAATGTATTGAACTAAACCGGCGCCCGAATCACCCTTTGAGAGAGAGAGAGAGAGAGAGAGAGAGAGTCAATAATTTTAAATATTTTAAAATATTTTAATAATAATAATAGTGAGATATACTTCACAAGTCATGGATCTATTCATGGGTATGTTGTTATCTGTCCAGAATGTACGGAACGTGCAAATCACACCATTATCAGAACCATTACACCATGGTGGTATTGTTATATGAAATTCACCACGTTGTAAATAATCAGGTACTTGTAGTACCCCCTTATAGTTAGTTTTTCCAAACCCAAAAAGTGTTGCATTTTCATAGGTTTTTGATTTGTTATTGATTTGTCCGGCATTTGGCAGACATATAGTGTTTATGAGATAATGTCGGCTATCATTGAGACGCGGGAACTCACTCTCGAGTCTAACCAAAGCCAAGTCATGGAACTGAGAGGTTGTGTTATAACTGTTGTGAATAATCACTTTTTGGCCATCTCTCCAGTCGAGCCGTTCTCTCCAATACCGTCCGGCGATTATAACCCATTCTCTATTCACTCTATAACTAATTCACACATTCATTAACATTGATATACAATTAGTTTGATAAATAGTTTGTTCACTTACTTATTAAAACAATGAGCAGCTGTTAGTACTCATAATCTCGTAACCAATACTCCACTACAAAATGTGTTAGAAAGCTTGAACCGATAATTTGGATCTACCATGTTTATTTTTATAGCCCAGGGGGCCTCCCCGTGCTTGGCGTCCACACCATATGCTATACGACTGTCCGGTAGGTTGTGCCGGAGGTCATGGTCTGAGCCGTAAATATTTGTCACTTGTTTCGCAGTATAGTTATTGAAAAAGCATTTCATATCATATGTTTTGTTGAAAACTTCTGGCATAAATCCGATGCCACAGTCCCTGGCATTCACTCCATAGTCTTTATATGCCTTATAATCGCCTATTTCTACAAAGCGTCCATAGATTGGCACTAAAATTTCATACAGTGATTTTAAATTAAATATAAAAATTATATAAAACTGCATTCAATACTAACAAAATATTGAGATTAAAAATAAAATGCATTCAAATATAACCATAACTTATTTTACTTTAATAACTGTTTAACAAACATCAATGTTCTATGATATAAACTGATTTTAAAAAATAACTAAACATGCATTTGATTTTGTTGTTAACCAAATGCTATTTAAACGCTTGTATTATTAAATAGTTTCCAGATTTTTGAATTTTTGTAAAAATTGTGTGCATTTATAAACAAATTCATTGTTACATCTCAATATCAATTTAAGTCAATATATTGTTATACAGTATTTAAATATCAATGAAGATAAATAATGTTTTTAATAAAAGTTGTGAAACACCAACATGTCATTGAAATATTGATATTTATTTTTTAAATGATATAGAAATATAAGAAGTTATGGCTATATTTGTGTGCATTTTGTTTTTAACCTTAATAATTTGTGAGAATTAAAAAATGATATTGTTTTATATAATACTTTTATTTACTTTAAAATTACTGCATTTTTTAGCCCAAACTAACGGACTGTTTGTAGAAATAGGCGATTATATGGCTTATAAAGACTATGGAGTGAATGCCAGGGACTGTGGCATCAGATTTACGCCCGAATTCTTGAATATAAAATATGATATGAAATGCTTTCCCAATAACTATACTGTGAAACAAGTGATGGATATTTATGGCCCACACTATGAGCGCCATCACAACCTACCGGACAGTCGTATAGGATATGGTGTGGACTCCAAGTACGCTGAGGCGCCCTGGGCTGTCAAATTAGTCATGTTAAAAGGCCAAGATTTGGATGGATGGTATTGTAGTGGAGTATTGGTCACCACATTATGGGTCTTAACGGCTGCCCATTGTTTTGATAAGTAAATTAATATTGATGTGTTTTATAAGTAACGTAATAATTAATAATAATATATCCTAATTACAGTGGTAAAATTAATAATGCGTGGAAAATAATGACCGGTAAGAATTGGAGAATACCGGTGGACACCAGACATAAGGATGTTGTGGTTATTCATGAAAACTACACCAAAAATACAGATCTCTATGACTTGGCTTTGGTTCGACTCGACAGCGAGTTCTGGCGTCTCAATGATAGCCGACATTATCTCATAAACACTATATGTCTGCCAGAGAGCGGACGAATAAACCACGACTTAGAGTTGGCCACACTATTCGGGTGCGGGTGGATCGGAGATAACGGCACTGTCCCCGACATTTTACAAAGGGGTGAATTTATTGTTGAGCCGTGGACTGACTGTCCTAGAAGTCTCGACGGTATGATTTGTACCAAACGTATATTGGATACGGACGTAGAGCTCATTATGAGACCAATGATTTGTAAAGTATGCCATCAATTATTATATTATATGTTGTATATGTTTTACGTCACTGTATTTCTTTCTCTCTCTCTCTCTCTCTCTCTCTCTCGCACTACTGAACACTATAATTACCAGTAATTAACGCCAACACATATCAAAAACATGACAGGTGTCGACAGCGGTGGTGGAGCCGTACAACTCGGTGCTGACCACTCACACCACACTCGAGCACTCGGACTGCGCCTTCATGGTTGACAACGAGGCCATCTATGACATATGTCGGCGCAATCTGGACATAGAGCGACCCACATATACCAACCTTAATCGTTTGATCGGTCAAATTGTCTCATCAATCACAGCCTCCCTGCGCTTTGACGGCGCCCTCAACGTAGACCTGACCGAGTTTCAGACCAACTTGGTGCCCTACCCCCGCATCCACTTCCCACTGGCCACGTACGCGCCGGTGATCAGTGCCGAGAAAGCGTACCATGAACAGTTGACAGTGTCCGAGATCACCAACTCGTGTTTCGCGCCCGAGAACCAGATGGTAAAGTGCGACCCCCGACACGGCAAGTATATGGCCGTGTGTTTGCTATACAGGGGCGATGTGGTGCCCAAAGATGTGAACGCAGCCATAGCCGCCATTAAGACTAAGCGGAGTATTCAGTTTGTCGACTGGTGTCCCACCGGTTTCAAAGTAAGCTAAATGCACCCCATGGTCAATTTTATATAATAAGCTATTTAAATGATTTGATCTAGGTGGGCATCAACTACCAGCCCCCAACAGTGGTTCCGGGCGGTGATCTGGCGAAAGTGCAACGAGCGGTGTGTATGCTGTCCAACACGACGGCCATAGCCGAGGCGTGGGCCCGACTCGACCACAAGTTTGACCTGATGTACGCCAAGCGCGCGTTCGTTCACTGGTATGTCGGGGAGGGTATGGAAGAGGGAGAGTTCTCTGAGGCCAGGGAGGACTTGGCAGCGCTCGAGAAGGACTACGAAGAGGTGGGCATTGACTCGGCTGATGGTGATCAGGACGCCGGCGACGAGTATTAAATGCGTTTGTGAAATGTGGTCACTCTATGCTTACACACCTCGCCTTTTTACACACACGCTATCACTTAATAATGGTTTGGATTTTATGCATATATTGTACCGATTTTTACCCCTATTTTACACATCACTACTCGTGTCTTAATATAACTGATATACTTGTGGTCATTATTACTGATTATATCTTGTACTTTGTGTTTATTTCTCTATTTTTTGTTTTGTTTAATTTACTTACAATTTATAATACAGTATTTATTTTGTAAAATTCTAAATTACAAATAACTCAAAAAGGCTTTTGTGTGATATTATCATATTAAAAATACTTGTAATCATAATTTACATATTTATAATATTTTAGTTTATAAATATTATTATTGTATTCATTTATATTTCATGTTTGAAATAAATTAATTATAGTTACACTAATTAATTATCTACATTAATTGTTTTAACTAATTTGAGTGTACACAACAATTTTATTAACATAAATAATAATGTTTACAAAATTATTCTATAAGCTTATAATCAACGTGTAGTATTGTTTGTATGGCTTGCAATGGTATCCAAAATCCATTGAATATTAAGTGATGCGGATATTAACCGACCTATTATTCGAGCACAAGGGACGGGATAACCACCTTTCACTGTTGCGATTAGTATAGCACGGGTTTCATGTTTATCAATGTATTGGAGTACACCTCCGCCCGAATCACCCTTTCGAGAGAGAGAGAGAGAGAGAGAGAGAGAGAGAGAG